GTGTGTGTGTGTGTGTGTGTGCAATAAATGGCAATCTGGTTTTCCAATTGTCAAGAGGCAGGCATCAGACCTGCCTCCACACAGCATCTTTCTTTACCTCCTCTGAACCAACCCACTTCTGTGCTGGGTTCAGTAAGGGACTGCAGTGACCCCACACAGAACCCACAGACAAGACTCACAATGATGGGTTTATCAGCAATGTGAACAGGTGACCACGGTCCGGATCAGGAAGCAGTCAGAATGCAGTCCTTGGACCACCCGCCTCCTCAGGCCAGCAACCAAGTCTCTCTCTAGTCCTCAGCCTCTCAGCCGCGTGGGCCCCTGGCTTCTCTGTCTCTGTGGGCCAAGAAGCCCCCCTGTCGCTCGGCCTCAGTCCCAGAGTCTCAGCACTGCTCCTCGTGCTCCGTCTCGCAGTCCCTGTGCCGCAGTCTCTGAGGCTCTGCTCTGGCTCAGCCTCCTCACTTCAGACAGAGAGCGCGCATGTACCCTTCAGTGGTTCTGAGCTTTCTCTCTCCCTCCTGCTTCAGAAATGGCTCATCCTTAGAGCCAGGGGTGTGATCATGAAAACTGACCAATCTCCTCTATTAATGTAAAACATGCCCTATTTGCATAGTCCCACCCAATCGTTTGGTGGGGATTATGGACTTGGTTAGAAGACCCATGTGTTAGTCTGGGTAGACTAGAGAAACAAATCCATGGACACACATGTGCATATAAGGGAGAGGTTTATATACAAGAGGAACTGAACATTGAGAAAACATTCCAACCCAGTCCAGGCCAAGGCCATAAGTCTGATATTAGCCCATATGTCCGATACCAGTCTATAAAGTCCTCTTCACACTCACGAAACACATGCAATGAAGCCAAATGCAGGACGATCACAAGCCAGTGGGTAGACAGTCTTTGGAGCCACTGGCATGGTAAGCATCTCAGTGCTGGCAGGGCTCTCCACATGGCTTCTCCAGCTTCAGAGATCTGGTTGCATCCATGTGGCTTGCCTTCTGAAAAGTCTCCCAGGAAGTGGCAGAGAGAGAGAGGTGTCTTCCACCTCCAAGGAGGAAGTACCAGATTTCCCAGAATTCTCAGGAGAAGGCCATGCCCACACAGAAGTCGCATTGGCTAGCTGCAGATTGACAGCCTAGACTCCACCCCTACACTCTTACTCCTTAAGTTGACACCAGCTTAGGTGATTACCACAAACCATATTTTGGAAATTTCACTCCACCACAGTGTGTGTGTGTGTGTGTGTGTATGTGTGTGTGTGTGTGTGTGAGAGAGAGAGACATATGGACGATTTCTTTCAATCCTTCAGGAGCCTGAGTTAACATGTTGGGCTGCTAACTACAAAGTCCGCTTTTCTAAACCATCAACCACTCCTTGGGAGAAAGACAGGTTTTCTAGTCCTGTCTCAGAAACCCACCAAGTTACAGTCTCAGAAACCCACCAAGCCGTTCTACCCAATCAGACAGGGTCACCAGGAGTCAGTATTGACTTGATGGCAGTGAATTTGGTTTTAGTTTATTATTAGTTGACACAAACCATTAAGCTGCTCACAAAAAGGTGGATAGTTCAAACCCACCCAACAACTCTTCAGGAGAAAGACCTGATGGTCGGCTAATGTGAAGATCCAGCCCAAACCTCCTTTGGGCCGGCCCTCTTCTGCTGCCCCATCAAGTCACCCTGAGTCGGATCTGACTCCCTTCTCAGGAGGAGGTACAGGGCATGAGGTCCTTCCAGCAATAAAGCTTCAGAAGCTTCGCTTGTGGTCGTCCTAGCTCTGGGACAGTTGCAGGCTCAGTTTCCTGCATTCTGAAAAGCCCTTCTTGTTCTCCTCGACAGTACCTGGTATTGTAACAATACTGAAGAGCCGGCCAGGGATTGCTGGCCACAGGCATCTGGCCAAGTAATCATAACGCCTAGCCCTGGAGAAATCCGGTGAAATCCATTTGCTTTGAGGATACTGCTCTCCGAGGTGATACCTCGAGGCAATCTCTGTGCCTTGAAGGCTCAGGCAGAAGTCCAGGGTTGGGTTTCTCTCTCCTCAGAGAGGGGATGGACAACAACCAGCCCGCCATATTTGACTGGGAGAGACAGGTGCCAGTGGGGCGCGTCCCTCTGTCATGTTAGGCATGCCTTTCCCAAGTCCTCCCGGGCTCTCAGTTCTTCTTTTAAGTATTAATTTTACTCTCCACTGATTTGTTTCTTCTAGGCAGTTGGTAGGGACTCCAGTCACATTTTTGTTTTTAAACCACCCTTGTTTAGATGCCTTTATTCCCACCCTCCCCCCAGAAGTGGTGACCAGTGTCCCATTATTTCTACAAGCAAGAATGGCCGTTCTGACATGGAAGCATGCTAATGGGCTGTCTCAGAGCTTCTCTTAGTTTAGAAGTCACCTAACGCGAGGAGCTGCTGTGTTGGTGGCCTAACTAGAAGCAGAGATTAATTCGGTGCCTCGGCTGCTTATCGTCTTGTCCATTTTGGGGTTTTCCTCACTGCCTGTCTTGTAAGCCTATAAGTGGTTCGTCGTTTATCAAACTTTCCTGGCAGCAATCTAGTTTATGCACAGAACAGCACACTCATCCCTGAGGGGTCTGTGAAAGCGATTGATTGGGCGAGCTTACTTTTCCAACAAAACCCAAGTTAAGGGAGTTTTTAGACTTTTTCCTTTCTCTCGTTCCCTTCCCAGAAGTTATCTCAGCAGATGTCTGCTCAACTAGACGGTGAACCGCTGTACAAAACACATGGCAGATAACACTCTTTCCCCTTGGACTTTTGTCTCCCTAAAGCGTTTGCGTCTCACAAAATAGCATCCCTGGTTCGCTGCCCGCATCCGCTAGTTTCAGAAGGTTGCCGAAAGAAGTTCATCTTGCCCCACAAAGGACTTAGTGGTTTGTTGTTGATTCTGACTCATAGTGACCTCATAAGACAGAGTACAAGTGCCCCTTAGGGGATCTTAGGCTGTGATCTGTATGGGAGTGGATCACCAGGTCTTTCCTCCCAGAGAGCCACGGGTGGGTTTGAACTGCTGACCTTCTGGTTATGAGCTGGGTCCTAAACCAGGGCGCCTCATTAAAGGGTTTCTCGTGAAAGGGGGGATGTTTTCGATGATGCGGCAGTGGGCAACGCTGAGCCTTTCGTGGACATTCCCCGACAGGAAAGGTACCAGAAGGAGCAGGACAAGCTGAAGGAAGAATGGGAAAAGGCCCAAAAGGAGGTCGAAGAGGAAGAACGCAGATATTATGAGGAGGTACGACGTGCCTGAGGTGAAATGTGACGGTGCAGCCCCCACCCCTCCACGTCCTCCAACACTCTGTGTCTATGGCTCGGGTGGGCATGCGGCTGTGCCTGCTTCTCTTTGTTCTGAGCAGAGCCACCAGCCTGCTGGTCTGGGGCGGACCCTGTGGCATTGAAGTCCTGGGTTACCTTGTGGAGACCACATGAGAGAATTGGATTTGTTGTTGTCGTGTATTTATTTGTTTCCTTGTGGGGAGCATGGTTAGGGATGAAGATGATTTGGTTGCTGAGTTTCAATCAAGGTATCCTTACCATGATTTCAGACGGTGCTAAAGAGAGGAGTGGGGCAAGAATCGGGTTGTTTAGCTTTAAACAAGCCAGGCCACACTGAAGAATCAGAAAGGGGTTACACTTCCATGTATATTCTCAACAAATTGTTGAGAATTTCACTTTCAAAAATAAGGTTTGTGTCCAAATCAGATCCCCTCTTAGCATTCTCAAATCACGCGAGCTAGTTCATTGGCAAAGACTATGGTGTTTAAATGAAATGTTAATCTCTATATCTTTGCCCTTAGAGAATGTTCTATATGATTTGCAGGCTTTAGGAAAATGAGAATTTTTTTATGATTATCATTGCTCTACTTGTCTGCTCCCATTCTGAAGTTGTTCCCAAAGTCCCCTCGCAACATGGTTCTCTCGGCAAATGTGTTTTTTCCGTTTCTTAGGAACGCAAGATCATAGAAGACACGGTGGTCTCATTTACCATTTCTTCAAGTTCTGCCGACCAGCTGTCAGCAGCCTCCTCCCTAACGGAAGGCAGCAGGACAGTGGTGAGGCCACCCATGGAAACCCAGCTCCTTGTGAAATGACTAACCATGAAGAGAAGGACTAACCCGCAGGCTGACTTATCCCACGGACTCCATAGTTAAATCCCGGACTGGCGGATGAATGCCCTCCAAGGAGGCCAATGACCATGTGGCTATTGCATCCCACGGGACTGCCACTGCCCTGCCTAAACCCTCACGTTATTTCCTGAGGAGCAGTTACGTTGTTACCCAGGCAGGAATGGCCAACAGGCTGACCCCTCAGTCTCTCCACACCTGACCGACAAGAGTCCACCTAACAAAGCCACCTGCTAGAAACGCCCTTGTGACTGCTAGGGTTCCGGCTCCTGTGTGCATGCGGCACACGCTTGTCCCTCTCTGCCCCGCCTCCCTGCGCCCCAGCCAGTAGCAGCAGGCACGCCAGCAGTGTACTCTACGCCAAGGGAATGTCTTCTAGCCCCCCTCCCGATCGTCTAAATCAGTGGTTCTCAGCCTTCCTGCTGCCTCGATCCTTGAATACAGTTCTCATGTTGTGGTGACAACCCCCCCCCCAATTATAAAATTATTTTTGTTGCTACTTCATAACTGTAATTTGGCTTCTGTTATGAATCGGGGCAACCCTTGTGAAAGGGTCGCTCGACCCCCCCCCCAATTATAAAATTATTTTCGTTGCTACGTCATAACTGTAATTTGGCTTCTGTTATGAATCGGGGCAACCCTTGTGAAAGGGTCGCTCGACCCCCCAAAGGGGTCGGGACCCACAGTTGAGAACCGCTGAGTTAGAGTGTGAAGGTCAGATGGGGATACCTCCTCTCATTGTTCTTGATAACATTTCAAAGACCAGTCCCTGATAAGGGGCCTCTGGGCTGGGAAGGAGTTGAAATGGGGAAGGAATTATAAACTGTTGTCCAGGGGAAGGATATTGTGCATTTCCTGTAGGCAGCCTGGTTCAGGATGTCCACACAGCAGGCAGGCAGTGGTCTCCATGGAAACATGAACAGCTGCCTTGGAGTCAACTGTGACTCCTGGCAACCACATGAGTATTAGAGTAGAACTGTACTGCATAGGGTTTCAATGGCTGTGTGTTTTCCAGAAATAGGTACCAGACTGAGGTGCCTCTGGGTGGACTCACACCACCAGTTAAACCTTTTCACCCCTCTGGTACTGCACTAAGGGACAAGACAGTCCGCCTCCTAGAAAGAGTCTGGAAACTCATAGAAGCCGTTCTCTTACTCAATGCCATCGAGTCAATGCTGACTCATATGGACCCTCTCTGGGTTTCCGAGACTACAACTGTTTACAGGAGTAGAAAGCCCAGTCTTTCTGGTGGTTCTGAACTGCCGGCCATGCAGATCACAGGCCAACATGTAACCACTAGACCACCAGGTCTCCCTAGAAGCAGATCTACTCTGTCCAGTAGGGTCACAATGAGTCAGATTCGACTTGATGGCAGTGAGTCTTGGAGTAAGTACTT